GACTGAGCTAACGCGGAACGGCGACGTCGCCGTGTGCGTGCGGGACTGATGCTTCTACGACTGTTACGCTACAAGTACCACAACACACACACACACACACACACACACACACACACACAACACACAACACACACACAAACACTGCACTTCACTCGACTCACTCATCTCACTCATCCCTCATTCACTCACTCACTCACTCACTCACTCACTCACTCACTCACTCACCTCACTCCACATCACTCACTCACTCACTGCACTCACTCACTCACTCACTCACTCACTCACTCACTCACTCACTCACACACTCACTCACTCACATATATATAATATATACATATATGTATATGTTAGGAATGGAAAACTTTGCACAGACTCTGGTGATTATACTGGTGCGCCTAGCGATGGTGACGTCACGACTCTCTGCGAAAAGACACGGTAAGAGTCGTTGTACCGCTGGTTTTCGTGTTATATCTGAATAGTATAGAGTATCGTTGTGTGTTACTATCGTGCTTATATGAGGAGTATCGTTGTGTGGTTATGTCGTGGTATATAAGATTACCGTTTGTAGTGTATATCGTGGGTATATAGGATTTACCGCTTGTGTGCGTATGTCGTGTATATAGATTACGTTGATGTGGTTATATCGAGTATATAGGAGACCGTTTGGGTAGGGTATATCGTGGTATATAGGAACCGTGTGTGGTATTTCGTATATATAAGGATTACCGTTGGCTGATATTCGTGCGGTATTATAGAGTATTTGTGTGTTTAATCGTGATATTAGGCAGTAGCGTTTGTTGTGGTAGATCGTGGTATATTAGAATATCCTGTTGGGATTGTTAATAATAAACGGGTGTGGTATTTTGTGATGATATAATTTTACCGGTGTGGTATTCGCTGATATATAGGATTACCGTTCGTGTGGTAATTTCGTGATATATAGGCGTTACCGCTTGTGTGTACGATCGTGGTATAATAGCAGTACCTTGGTGGATTCCTGGTATATAGGGATCCGTTGTGTGTATGTGTGGTATATAGAGTACTTTGTGCGTATTTCGTATATATAGGAGTACGTTGGTGTATGTAGTGGTATATAACATACGTGGGGCTATTGCGTGAATAATATTCGGATTACGTTGTGTGTCGTAATCGTGCCGTATCATAGGAGCTATCGTTGGTGTATTTCGGGTATTATACAGTACCGTTGTGTGGTAGTCGTGCTATCATAAGATTACCGTTGCTGGGTATACCGTGGTATATAGCAGTACATATAAACCATTGTGTGTATACCGTTGGTATATAGAGCTACCTGTTGTGTGGGATACCAACACACACACACACACACACACACACACACACACACACACACACACACACAGTGAGAGGATAGAAAAACGGATCAACACGAAACCTACCATTCCCCGACAAGTACTAATCGCGACGCTTGATTGGGCAACGTTGGACACATGACCGACGAAATGACAGTCGTCTGACGGCTGGTGACGCCGCGCATGCGTCGTGCCGTTGCGTCCCCAATGTTCGACGACAAAGTCTCTCGACACGAGGTCTCTACACAACGTCACGTTCAGATGAAAGTCAGTCTCGTAAGCACGCACTTTGAAGAACAGCGTGTCGCCATCGTCATCGTCATCGCCATCACCATCGCCATCGCCATCGCCATAGCCGTCTGCGTGGCGCTTGTATCGAGTCCGAGGTGTGTGTTTCACGTCGTAGCTAAGAAATCGTCCTCGGTCGTCGATACGCTGCGGTATTACTATCGAGTAACCATCGGGCATGCGGGAAAGGTGCTCTGCAAAATAAGAAAACACAATATTAGTACGGTATTTCTTTCTTTCTTTCTTTCTTTCTTTCTTTTTTGTTTCTATCTCCTATTCTCTCACGCTTTCGCTTTCATTCTATCTGTTCAAGCACTATATAGGTTGAATATGGGTCATGTCTCTTGCTAATCACGCACGCACACACGCACACACATACACGCACACATATACAGGCAGGTACGCACACACGCACACACATACACGCACACATATACAGGCAGGTACGCACTGCACGCACCCACACACGCCACGAACACACGGATTAGCATCACATGACCATTAGATTTATGACTCCTGTGCTTGTTGTAGTGCGTCACAACAACAACACCAACGAGAGCAGTGCTCAGTTGCTGCCGATGCCGCATACCGTGCCTGCTGGCGCCTACGTCCTGGGTCGACTTATAAATATGTATTCTATATTCTAATAATTGATTCCGAAACACGTGAGCCGATTGCCACTGGCGTCTGCGCCGTGTGTGACGGACAGAGCTGCTGCGAGACGATAAACGCAATGAATACAATGATGTTGATAAAATAATGATATAGACATCTAGCTACCATGTATCCATCATTTACCCAAAACGAAACAGTAAATCGCGGACCTTACTGGTGAAACGAGCAACGAAAATGTGAATGCCGTGATGACATCTATGACTACACGTCGCGAAAAACATTGCGTTCGTTAACCCATTATAGTTAAATCGTATGAATTCATTTCATCGCTAAATAGCCCGCGCGCACACGCTTGGATACTTGCTGCGCACTATTTCCACGTGTGGAAGTTGGCGCAGCAAGTTCCACAGTCGGCCGCGGCCCTGTGTTTGCGGCGGGCTCAATCTTGCAAATGTGGGCACAAGTAGAAATAGTCGTAAATAGATGCGAAATGTAAATATAGTAGAGATGGTCGATATATTGTTGTTCTAACAATTGCGCAACGAGATACAATGTATTAACTACACTCGATACACAGTATTATATAGTTTCTTTACGTAAACAATTTATTCTATAACTTGCTGTACCAGACGGGAGTCTGTTACAGCAATTATGCATGCATATTTAACAAAGCCCTGCGACAAGGGTGGAAGCGTATATACATGCTTGGCGTCTGTACGCAACATAAACCTATAACGCTAGACGTCAACGGATTAAGTACGTCAACGTGACTTACGCCATTCATTTAGAAAACAACACGCGCATTCTGATCGCGGCGGCGACTAGACGAAGAAGATAACGCAGAGCAAGACGACGTTAAAAGAAGACACGAAAAAAAAGACAGTCGAAACTGACAACTCGTTTCTGCTGCACCACGGGTATGTTATGTCAAAAGACGTTTTTCGTTCGAATAGCGATCGGTACGACAAAGTCCGCATGCACACCTGCTGCGCGGAGTCGACAGAAAAACCTTCCCTTCTGCTTCGATTCGCATAGCTATCGTTCAAACAGAATTGTATTCGATAGAACGATAATCACCTTGTTCACGACATCTGGAGTCGATTAAGATCGAGTACCTTTCAAGAGCCATCACTTTACATTGTGACCGTTTCGCCCTCACGTAAACGAAACTGCGAGATGCATGATACCATCAAGAGTACAATAGAGATCTCTATTATTTACTTCTTAGATTACCATTCAAATTCTTTCATTACACGACAAAGCCTATAGCCGTACCTATGCAGGCGCACACGCCGACATCGGCTTTGTAATTGTTTTCATATTAATACCTGTTGAAGTGATATCGACGGACGATAGTAAGCAGATGCTGAGAGAAAACGTGTGAAAATCATGCTGCCTATAATCAGGTTGGTTATGTGCGCGTATTTAGGCGAATGGGCGAAAGAACGGTTGTTTAGTCTATTACAGTAATCTAATAATAGTCAAGGGTGATAGTATCGTAATGGTAATGGAAATGGAAATGCGGAATGGGAATGGGATAGTAGTACGTAGTGTAGTACACAACGATTTACTCCTATATACCACGATATACCACGCAAGCGATACATCCTATATACCACGAGTTTTATAGCACGCAACAGTGACATCCTATATACGCACGGTTACCCACACAACAGCGTACTGGCTATTACACGTTATACCACACAACGGTACTGCTATATACCAAGGATATACCACACAACAGGTATTCATTTACCTATACCACGGACACTACCACACAACACGATACTGCCTACCTATACACGAAATTACCCACGACACAACATACTCCTATATACCACGACATACCACACAACGGTACTCCTATATACCAGGAAATACCACACAACGATACTCCTATATACCACAAAATACCACACAACGGTACTCCTATATACCAGGAAATACCACACAACGGTACTGCTATATACCACGACATACCACACAACGGTACTCCTATATACCAGGAAATACCACACAACGGTACTGCTATATACCACGATATACCACACAACGGTAATCCTATATATCACGAAATACCACACAACGGTAATCCTATATATCACGAAATACCACACAACGGTAATCCTATATATCACAAAATACCACACACCGTTACTTCTATATACCACGAAATACCACACAACGGTACTTCTATATACCACGATATACCACACAACGGTACTCCTATATATCACGATATAACACACAACAATACTCCTATATACCACGAAATATCACACAACGGTAATCCTATATATCACGAAATACCACACAACGGTACTCCTATATACCACGATATACCACACAACGGTACTCCTATATACTACGATATACCACACAACGGTAATCTTATATACCACGACATACCACACAACGGTAATCCTATATACCACGATATACCACACAACGGTACTCCTATATACCACGATATACCACACAACGATACTCCTATATACCACGATATACCACACAACGGTAATCTTATATACCACGACATACCACACAACGAT